AGGGGCGCCGGCCAGGAGGCGGCCGGCCTCAGACGGCCTCGAGGAGCCTCACAGCCTGGGGTCGTGCCTTCTCATCCCCGCCCGCACGGAACAGGGCTGACTCGTGTAACCAGCAGGATATCGTGGGAATGACTTCCAAGGCCCGATCGTGAAAGACGTAGTCACAAGAGACCTCTGCCTTGCTCCCTGTCGCTGGGAGAAGCCAGCCACCACACTGCAAAGACACCTGGGCAGCCTGTGAAGGGGCCCGTGAAGAGAGGACCGAGGCCTCCTGCCCAGACCAGCACCGACTCGCCAGGTGAGCACGAGCCACCTTGGAAGTGGATCTCCTGCCTTCATCAAGCTCTCAGCTGACTGCAGCCCTGACCCAGCATTTTGACAGTCACTTCACGAATGACATGAGAGCCAGAACCATCCAGCAAAGCCACTCTAGGATTTCTCCCCCATAGAAACTGCATGAGATAGTAAATACTTACTGGTGTTTTTAGCATTTAAGTTTTGGGCGATTGTTACTCAGCAGCAAAGGGCAGAGAATCAGGCTGTGTCCGGAAAGTGATGGGAATCTCAACCCTGCAGCAAGGCCCCAGAGATGAGGAAAAGCCACCAGATGTCCCTTCTCTTCTACCACTATTTCTGCCGAGAGCTGAAACCAAGTGAAAGAAAGGTAAAAATCTGAAATTCAAAAATCTAGAGGAAACTACTGAGTTGGGGTCTGATGATGCAAGGATGTACTGGGATGTGGGTGGCACCCTCAGACCCACGATCTCATGCGGGTCCAGGCCCTGCGGAAACCGCTTCCCTTTTCACCGTGGGAGTGAAGACCCTCCACCCGCCACGACTGCGTACAAGGGCACTGAGGGCGCCCCCTCCCGTCGCCGTCCAGCCTGCACACCACAGGTGTCCATTCCCAGAGCTGTATCCCGGGGAAGTCACAGAGAGCGCTTTTGTTTGTTGTCTTAAACTTTGGGGGGGGGGGAGGAAATTAGGTTAGTTTAATTTTTTTTAATGGAGGAACTAGGGGTTGAACCCAGGACCTCATGTGTGCTAGGCCCGCGCCAGAGAGCACTTTTTAATCTTCTAGGAGCTCGTCAAAGAGAATGGGGTGGGGATGGTGAGAGGCCACGGTCCAGGGGGAGCCTGGGCGGTGAGGTGCTTAGTCCAGACTCATTCAGCTCTTTCCAGGCACGTATGGAGTCCCATTCCTCCTTTTTGGGGTTAAAAACCCCCGAAATATATCTGTTTAACATATTCATCACAAGGGCTTAACCAGACACTTAAAGAACAGAAATAACACAAAAATGACACCACAGACAAGATACAAGATTCCTATACAGAAATCAACGGAAGGACAGACCACAGAAGGGAAAACAATAAGACGACACAGGGAGCGGGACAGGGCTCTTGGCTGGAGACCTGGCTGGAGCAGGTTTCTTGCAGGGACATCTTGGGCCGTGGGGTTTTTCCCGAGCTCGGCGGCATGTGTGCTCAAAGGGTTATCAACGTTATGTTCTCTGAGCAGGCTCTGGGGGCTGGGGATGACGTCCTCGGTGGAGTGAAGCAGTGCAGGCCTCAGATGCAGACGTCAGCCTCGGTCGCCTGGGTGGTCCCCTGGGTGAGCTGGTCGTTCTTAGTCACTGGGATCCCCAGGCAGGCAGGAAGCCTTGCCACCCTCCAGTGTGGGCGACGGTCCCACCTCCTGTCTCAGCAGGAGAGGCACTTCCCGCCCAGAGTGTTGTAACAGGGCTGGGCACCCCTGGCACCAGCCAGCTGTGGGGACTTCACCCATGTTGTTTACTCTATTCTAACCAAGTCTCTCCAGCTGGACGATGGCTCATCACTGTCCCCGATCACACCATCGGGGGGGGG